TTGTTAAAATCAGGATACCTAAAAAAAAATCTTCGGAACCGCAACAAATGTAAGCAATCTTCGTACTGGTTGTCAATACGCGTGTGTTCACCTCTTTGCGCTGAAATTTTTTAGGATGAGAGTTGGTATGCTCAAATGTGCGTTTCTGACTCAATTCGGAATTCTTGGGAGCTGATTATAAAGTACCAACACGAATAGACGCTTCTCGTATACAACTAAGCAGTTTTTGTAAGTCGGGAAGCTCGTCAAGAGAAAGAGATTCCTCCCATATGTTACGTGTGGAAGCCGGGAGAGCTCTTTCGACTGTTAAAATTAGCTGATAATTTTGGCTTTTGATCCCCACAGCATCTAAAGCTACGTGGTGTTGCTCTACTGTGTCCACCAAGGCAAACAAACTGACAGAAATAGCTTTTTACAAATGAGGTAAATCGATGAGTGCGTGTAAATGTTTGGAAACTAACACACACTTCCTTTCGTTTGAGTTTGTAAGAAACTTCCAAGTCTTCCAGTAGTTTTCAACCCACAAGTTAAAAGGAGCTATTTTGGTTAGAGTCCCACCCCGCTTCGTACTCTTTAAATAAGTCAGCTTAGTAACATCATCTAGATCCGTACGAAAGTGCATGATTAAGCTGAAACTATTTTCGGAAGAAAGCCATTTGTCGGTATTTCTGTTAAATAACGGGATCTCAGTAATCGGAAGCTTCGGAAGCTTTGGATTTTCTGAAAAAGTAGAGTTTGCTAACGTAATAAACGAAAAGCTGCATCATTCGCAGAAACGATACCATTACTGAGCGTGGTTTTGGCTTCCAAAGGCTGATTGTTTAAAGAAACTCCCTTTTGCACAATATACGCGACGCGTTTACTTAAGCAATTGTAACGTCAGCAGCCAATTGTTCGAAATTCTAAATTGCCTGACACACCCACTCTTTTGCACCGTTTTCGCTCTCTACTACTCCTATCCATCTGCACAAACAGCACCAAAAGGGAAAGGCATTTGACGTTTCTTATCACCTTCGAAAAGAAACTGTTTCAAAGAAGTCACACCCGCATGTAGTTCACCTTTATTGCTCTAAATAAAAATTTCCGTGAGAACCCGGACTCTGCAAACACGCCAACATATGAAAAAATTCCAAGATATGACAAACTCCAAATGTTGTATTTAGTCAAATAAAAACGAAGCCACATACCTCATCGGCCATTGGTGCCCTCCTTACTCCCGCACTAGAACAAGCAACCGCATGCCATTACCACCATGTACAACTAAACAGCTTCTTTTATCCCTTTCGTTCCCACTCTCAATAATACTAACAGTACGTTGAAAACATGATTGTTTATAAACATAAATAAACAACATAAGAATAATTACTGATAACATTTAAACTTAGGTCAATGAACAGGGCTCACGGAATTACTATCATCAATACTTATGTTGTTACTATTACTATTACTATTACGTTTATTATTATCATTATTATTACTATTATTATTTTTTTTTATTGTTATTATTATCATTGTCACTTGCACGATTACTATTGCCACTACTTTTATTATAACTACTACCACTACCGGAACTACTGTTATTATTACTATAATTATCATATTCGCTATTATTTTTGTTATTATAATAATACCCCTACTGGAACTTTTGTTATTATCACTACGATTATTATATTTGCTGTTATTTTTTTTATTATCATCGCTACTGCTAGAATCATTTTTATTACCACTATTTGTATCATTTCAATCACTACGGTTATTATCATCGTAACCAGTAAGTTCAAGACCATCTCTTATCTTTATTAATTAAATGTGCTTGCTCTTTTATTAATAACTAGCACTACCTTAGCAATAACATTGGTTATAAGAAATGCCAGCCGTAAGCAAAGACAGGAGGAAAAAGGAATATTGTCTCCCCTCTCTCTAGTGTGTTGGACTAGGAAGAGGATTTTCTAAAATTTGCAAACTATCACGTGCTCGAACCTGAGTGGCGGCCCCGAATTATGCAAGGGCGTGATCTGGACACCAAGCTTTCCCATTCGATGATCGCTTTCCCTGTTCGCACTTAGGACCTCTTCCCAATACCCCAACTCTGCGTGTACACAAGAACGGCACCCCCGAATTGACCCATGTGAAACCGTGTAAGGCCTGAAGCCTCCTACACTAGCTAGTCTCAATCAATCGATCTTACCATCCTCGACTCTTTTTTGTTTGAGGTCCTCTGCTTGACTCGTCTTGGTCAAGTTCCCTATACTGCTGCTCTCAATTGGCGGCACTCTTCGAAATCACCCTTGATTTCTTCAGTCAAAATATGGTCCATTTGGGTTGCCTCTAGTATTGGCAGACAATAAAAATAGTAAGTCAAAATGAAAACAAAACAAATCTTTTTTTATTTCCGCCTACGCACCCATCCTCACGACCAGCCTTCTCTAGCCCCTCAGGCTGCTTGTCTTTGTGCAAAAGAGCAAGCAAGTTGATCTGCTCACGGGTACCTTGTAAGGGTCGTAATTATATTAAGATATTTTGAGTATAAATTCAATAACTTTTATTTGATGGTTCTTTAATGTGACGTGATATATTCAAGTGAGTTAGTATTAGTGGATTTGCTTTTAAGAAGGATAGAGGATCATGGGGACTCGTGGGTACAATGTTGGATTCGTATTGCCCCCAACTTGTATCACGAGATACTTCAGTGGATGTGTGCAGGGACGTAGTCAGATTCGCAATGCCCCTGACCCGTGGTGCACACGTCCTAGGATCTTATATATTATTGAATAAAAATTTATAGGACTCTCTTGAGTTCCTGTTGGGTGCGGTAAGTCTGCCTAGAAACCGGGATTGCTTCAGTTCGTATTGCCCTGAAGGTCCGCCAGTTCGTCAGCTTCCTTACCTAGAGGATAGCTCCGGTTCGTATTGCCCCGGAGATCCGCTCCTTACCCGAGGAACACAAATGAGGAGTAACTGGTGTACGGGGAAAACTAGGAGACTGTAATAGCCTCTTCGTCGCCCTTATAGCCAGTACAGTATTTAAAATGAATAGTGTAATATAAGAAATGATAATCAAATGTATATATAAATTCGCTATTTATTGCGATAATGTTACAACAGTGCTTTGAAAAGCAGAGCTCCCTAGTCAAAGCGCCGGACTCGTTGCTGATGGCAAAAGTGATTAACGTGGGCTTGCATGGGCCTTTTATACCTCCAGATTCGCAGCGGCGTCGGCGGCTTTGATTAGGCGGCTCGAATGACTTGCTCATTTCGCCGCGATTCACAATCATTGTTTGTTTCGGCATACATATAAGTGTTTTATATAGTCGCGTTATAGGCGCTTGTTTCATCCATCTCACGTATTTACATTCTAGCAAACCGGGTAGCAAGTGTTTTAGGGGTATCATCTTGAACTCAAATTGGTGATAAGCAAATAATTAATTACTATATGAATTAGACCCTCACAACCTTTGCACCGCCTCGCGAGAGTGGCTGGCGTGGGGTTGCGCATCTCTCACGTACCTTACCGCCTCGCATCGTGGCCTATCTTCGTATATCTGACTGCTTGAACAGGAGACATGAGCAAAAAGAATCCTGAGCAACAAGCGAAAGCTTAGCTCAAAATCCTATACGTTACGCCGACGTAACAATATCAGATATTATAAATACCAAAAATGAATGATATCTTATAAAAGAATATCTAAAGAATACACATCACTTTAAAAATTGAGTTTGGATCATTTTTGGCAATTTCTCTGCCGTTTTTACAAATCACCTTTTTTATATTTTCTCACAGATTGTAGAAAAACTCACAAAAATTTATTCACCAAGTTTGAATCACTGTCGGGTATAACTACAACCTACAATTGATGCCCTAAAAAAAATTCTAATTCCATTGGAAGCCCTGTAATTAGATGTTAAGAAGTGGCTATTTTTAGCGTTTAGTGAGGTTCCTTACTTATTTTTCATTTTAATATACTTTTACTGTTTATTAATTAATTAGGTATGATTGTAAATAAATAAATAAATATATATCAATTATTTATTAGTACATTTTTTTTACTTTACAAACCTTTTTCTTAGTAGCATATGTGCTACATATTAGAAATGTTTATTCAATTTTTATTTTCAATTAAAACTTTCTAATAAATGATCCGTTCATTTCACTTTTTTGAAAATTTTTATCTTTTTTCATGAGTAACTCATTTGTTCAAGGTTTTATGAAAAAAATTTGTTATTTTCGAGGAAGGTGCTTTTTTGAGTTGAGCTACAATAATTGGCTTGTAATACTACTCTATTCAAGATAAAGTGGTACTACCAAATGATTTTTTTTTTTGCCTTTCAGATACATGTTGTGGGCATTATATACACGACTATAATAAGGAGTATTAACGTAAGTGACAGATACGAATGTGAAGTTGAAGATGTAATTAGCGCAAGTGGTAGAAAGTTGTTTTGAAACAATCGAAAGAGTTAAAGAAAGTGCACAGTCTTGTATTGGCTTAACTAGCCGCAGTATTTTTCCATTCATAAATTGTCTGCCATAGAAGTATAACTTCATACTTGAGTACACAACCATCCACTGATCACTAGTTCTTTTGTTTCTAAAGAATCTTCATAAATTAATAATCGCTAATCTAGTTTTACGGACTTTCCATTTTTTTAGATGAGATCTATGAAAATTTGCTTCCTAGAGTGTACTTGTAGTAAAGTTATTTTTAACCATTTACCCTCTAATAATTCTATTAAAAAAGTGGGCAAGAGATTTTTTTCATAATACGGTACCTAATATGCTGTTTCGCCTATAGTAATTGGACATTTTGTACTCATGAGTTATTAAAAAAATATGTTAATATTAAACTCATCATAATCATGCCTTGCATAAAAGAATTTGATAAATTTAGTATGATAATGTTTTGTCCGGTTATTTGAAAAATTTAGAGTAGATATGTAGAGTCGAAAACAATGTAGAGTTATAACAAAAATCAATTTTTATTAAAATTTTTTTTTTACAGAGGATGTTCTGTTAGACGAAAAAGGTGAATGCGTTATTTGCTTAGAGGATCTGCAACCTGGTAACTTGATAGCCCGCCTGCCTTGCCTCTGCATATACCATAAAAAGTAGGTAAAATTAGACATTCAATATTACTCTTGATTTAAAAGTATCTCAACTTAATCTTAAGGATTATATCATCAAGGGTATTTACACATAAAAAGTTGTCCTTACTCTAGCATAATTGTGTAGTAAAACACATTCTTCAATACAGGAAATTATTAATTGTATAAATGAATTATCATATTACATAAATTATGGAGTATGTTTATAATATTAACTGTAAACAGCAGTACGCGTAACGTATGTATAACAATCTAAGGATTAACCACCATATAATATTCTGGGTACAATGGCAAAAGAGTATTAATTTTTGGAAAAATAGTAAAGTACTGTCTTCTTAACTTAATCGGTACAAAATTTATAAACAATTGTATTTATGTGCCTTAAGTTAAATTTTAATTTTCAGATTATAGATAAACTCTGAATTATATTAGTAAGGCTTTCCATGTATAATACTTAAAATATAAATTTTTTGAAGCATAATAGATTTGCAAAATTAGCTGAAAATACGATGGAAAAAGAGGTTGGGCCCAAAAAACTGAGAAATTATGTTACAGATCATAGATAGTCATGTGCTACAGAATGTACAACTTTTAAATAAATATTGATGTGAAATAAATTAATAAATGAAATATGAGCCAAAAATAGTTAAAATTTTAAGAAGCAATGGAAGACGTTGGTGTGAGTGTGGGTGCAGTGATGTATTTAATTGTGGTACGTAGGTGGGTTGTGTGAATAAGAAATATCTGCGCCACTAGCTAATAATAAGTAGATAAAAAATAATTATAAGTTCAACTAAAAAGTTTTGATGCTATTTTAGTGTAAATGTAAAAAAAGCAGAATGGTGAATTACGTGATACATTTACTCTTTCACTATCTTCGTGTTAATAGATTTTATCAATTTCTCATGCCTTTTTTCTTATGCTTATCAATTTCTTTGGCATCTTAGTTTCTAAAATTTACTCTGTTTCTGCAAAAAAAAACTCTATACAGTAGTATGGTGCCCATTAGTGTAGTACCTAAGTAAACTACAGTTCTTATTATTAATCACTGATCGTTTTATAGAGTTAAAGAAAACATTTCACAGTAAAGTGAGTTATGAAAATAAAATCAAAAAATACCAATTATAGCAATAAAAAAACTCGCTGCAAAGAACTGGCACAAAGTTTTCTCATAATTTTTATGTATTATTTTGTAAACTTGACCTATTTAATATACTCTTATATTGAATCATAAATATCTAAAATGGTTAACAATTAATTCATACGATTATCTGCCACATACCTAATTTTTTCTTCTTACTAATATATAAAGCAAGAACGCTAAAACCGTTGTAATCGCTAACCGCGAAAACTACTGAACCGATTTTGTTGAAATTTCGCACACAGATTCATGATACTTCCTAGATGGTTTAAGTATAGTTTTTATCGTAAAAAATTTAATAATAATAGCAATAAATGAGCTCAAAGTTTTGCAAAAATACGCCAGCTTTTCACTTTAGTTCAGTAAAATCCGCTAGGTGGCGTCGACATAAAATCGAGGCTACCTGCAACAGAATTAAATAAGTGTGGTTATAATAGGCCGGAGCGTATCGATAGTGATGTAGTCGAGCTTCGGCAGTTCAACGAGCTGTATAGAGAATGCTGATGACAGTCTTGCAGCTGGGTATCCCGGTTACGGACGACACTCTTATTCAAGGGGGAAGGGACCTAGGTGTCCATTCACCCTGAATCTCGACGAGTGCGACCAAAAAAAAAAATTATTCCAACCGATGTCGTCTCTGCCATAATACCAGGAGACAAATCTAGCCAGAGCTCAATCTGCTCCAACTCACCAGAGTTGTGTGGCAGTCCCACCACCTCACCTGGTGCAGTTAGAGAATTTGTGGCTACAAATGTAAGCCAGGGAAAACAGCTCTGAGGGGCACGGGTAGCCACAATGGCTACCTTCTCGGTCATCGCGTTCCCAACGCGCTTACCCACATGTTCCCGTCTAACGATGAGCGGTTGGTTATCCGGGGAACGACCCGAGACGAGATATTGTTTGGTCAGCGGCGTACCTTCTTCCATCACAGTCTCCGTACATCGAGACTCCCAGGGTAAGAATCAAGCAACCCGTAGCCAGCTCTTCATCATCAGGAATAATAATAAAGAATAGCCTAGAAGTCTCACCACTGGCGCTTTTTAGGGCCATTATAAGTATTGGCGTTCCCTACTTAACCATCAATTTCATCGGTTCTTTTTAGGATCCACCTAAGTGTAAACTACCTTGCCAACAAATACATTTTTATTACCATTTCCAGAAGCGATTCGTCGACTAAAAGACTATATTAACTAAAGACGGGCACTATTAAACCAAGTCAGCTATTCACTGGCAGACGTCACCTGCGGAGTTGTTCGTCGCAAGGCTGGAAAACCCGGTGACTGACGACGACCCTCTCGACTCTAAGCATTAAACCAGGAATCACTGATCCTCTCCAAGGTCTGCGCTGGGCAAACCTATAACAGCTATGAAGGAAAAAAAACTTGAGCCAACGGGACAGCCTCCACTGTACAAGTATCACTAACCAATCTCTCCATCTAAGATCATCAAAAAACTGAATCTGCAAAATAAAAAAGGTGCTTTAGACACCAACGTCTTCGACGTTATACCGGGAGAAGTTGGGAAAGAGCACTACAACTAGCCCCAAAGCTTCGGACTTTGTAATTTTTCTCCCGAGTAGTCTAGATTTTCAACATCAGGCCAGAGAAGATCACCCTGAGATATCCAGGCAGTCACAATTGCTGTTAACTGAAGACTGAAAGAGTTTACTTAAGAAGCTCACCGGTCTTTTTTAGGGCCATCGGACGTCGAACTACTTTGCCAAAAAATATATTAGAACTTAACAAAGTTGACAGAAAACAGCTTTTAGGGGTCACAAAAATTTTAAGCATGCCAAAAGTCGCAAGAGGGTTAATTGGAAGAAAAACTTCAAATGTATCTAATAAATACAATTTTACTCAGGCGTCAAGAAACTGACGCAGAAAATTTATCGAGAGTAAAACAGCAGCTTCAAAATCGACAAATAAAGAGTCCATTACGTGAGAGATAAGCTTTTCATTGTACCCTCACAGCAATCTCTGAAATCTTTAAAGATCCTACTTCAGATTTTTAAATAAGTAGAAAATGTTTTTGTGTTTTTGTGGCAATAAAAATGTAGGGTTTAAGGTCCAGGACTTTGTTGCTCTGGTAATAAAGTTGTGAGATATGAGAAAAAAAAATTTTTTTAACATAAATTTTTTGGGGTTTAAAATCTTAACAGCTTTAAAAAATAGCCGTTTTCGTGAATTATACGGGAGAAACTGTAAATCAACGGCTTCTTATTTTATGGCATAAATAATGCACGGTACTTTTTAGCATAATTATTTTTTTTGAATTTTCACACCTTCTTATTTGACCAAATAAACTATATGGATTCCGGAAAAATATGTTTTTAATAAGAAGATTTTTGTTCTGAGATGTGTCAGGAATATGTGTAAAATTTCTAACTGAAAACGTTTCACATTACATCGAAACGTAGTACGTCAACACACTACGGTGTTTTATTTAGTAATTCTCGGGCGAAGCCGAGACGGGGGGCTGCTAGTATTTTATACGCAATACATTTTGTTAAAAATTTTATAATCTCTATGCGTTTGGTAGAAGAATGTCCTAAAATTAAAAAATCCACTTTTCGAAATTGACGAAGTTATAATAATAAAATTTAGCTGTTTAAATCGAAACTTCATTCTTAAGCAGTGCACATACACACACACATACAATCGCACACATTTTTTTTATCTCCAATCTAGATAACTTTTTTTGTATTCATGAATAAAAAATGCCAAAAGTTATTGAAATTGACTGACAGACCCTTGAAATATATTTGATGTCACAAATACGCACACCTATGGATCAGACGGTGGATTACGATTACGACGACGACTACGTCGGCACGGTATTAACACTATAAAGCTAGGAGTGGCTTTGATGGCAGTGATAAAGGCACATGTGGACAATGAAATCACACAGAGATGCCACGAGTGAATAGAGTTAGGGACGAACCCTAGCCATCCAGGCGAAAGGCAAATGATCTACCACTGATCCACTGTAAGCTCAAACCAAGACGGTGCATAGTGTGGCCGATTCTGAAAAAGCTAGTCAAAAGTAGAAAAAAAGTCTCTAGCCAGGGTTTTTTTTTGTTAAGTTGGCTTTAGTATCCCCACAAAGGTCATAAAATACTCATAAATTCGTCGATTTGCGTTTATCTGTTGCATAGTAGTTGTTTGACCCCCGTACGGACCACTGTCTTGGCCGGTATTTGAATTGCCCGGTCTCACCAACTAATCGCCCGTCCTGCATTTAGAGAGGTCTCTAGCGGAAGCAGGGTGTGTGGTGCCCTCCGAGCGGTGGGCGCGTCTGGAGTCAGTCGTCTTTAACGAGTCAACACGGCATCACCGTTTTTTTCGCTTCTACGTCTTGTCTCGTCTACACAGTGTTCTTTCACTTGATACTCTACTTGTACCGAATTGAATAAACCGACTTTTGAAAAGACACAAGGGCGAGTGAAGTTGATTCATCCGCCCAACAGTAGTAGTTGTAGTTCTACCTTTGTTTGGGCACTGTTGATAGTGCTATCATGTTACTGAACGACGTATGTTGTATAGAAATAGTAATTTGAAAATAATTTTAATTGTATAAAATGGAGTCAACTTCTAAAGTTAAGTAGAATAAGAAAAAAACGTTTTAGATGATACTTTGACAAGTGCAGTAAATCAGTGAAATGATAATTATAAATTTTTTATAATAATTTATAATAAATAAGAGAAGGCTTAGGAAAAAGCATCCTAGAGTACCGCTTTGTCTCAAATGAGCTTAAAATTAACCTCATTCTTATCGTACATTGTGTTTTGTCTTATGTAGTTTAAATTTTTATGGTGATATCCAAAGCTTCATCCAGCATATCTGTATTTATAATACTTATAGT